ATCTCCCCCCAAAAAGGTCTCCTATATTTTTAGATATACAAAGAACCGTTTATTTTCTATAATTGCTATATCACTTTAAAGATTGAAGAATGCTTTATTTTTCAACATAATCGACATTTCGGTCGATGCATTTTTGCAGACGCTGTGGCAGTTTTACAATACCCATGTCATAAAAGGTTGGTGCCATGCCCTTCAGGAAGCGTTGAACCTCATCTTTCACCTCATCATCGGAACAGAACCGTAGAGGCGAAGAAATTCGCGGGAAGAATCAAAACGTTGTCGCTTGTGGTCTTCTGTCAGCATACGCGCCACCAATTTTGCAAACACCTTCCGATATTGCAACTTTTGCGTTAAAATCCTGTGGATAGTGCTTCTGGAAACCTAAGGAACCAAAATGCAGAGAGCATGCAGAGTAATCCTCCGATTTTTACATATGAGTTCCTCAACTTTCGCGATTGTCTCGTCAGCAATTGACAGCCTCCCGCTCCTTTCTTCGTCATGAATTTCAGTATGACCGGCTGTAAACCCTCTACACCACTTGCAAACGTTTTTAACATCCATGCATGACTGTCCATACACTTCCGTCAATAGGAGGTGAATTTCAACTGGTTTAACGCCTTTTGCGTTCAAAAATCGAACTGCACGCACTTCGCACTTGGCGGTAACATTTATCGGGAGCTACATTTCGAACGGCGGCCAAGCCAAGAATGAGTATTCGAGTGAAGCGCCTGACTGCTTATGTGGTAGCGGAGAAGGCACCACTCACAACAGTATTGCCAACAACCGTATTAAAACTTTCTCTATGTCCCCCCAAAAAAGGAGACCTTTTTTTTGGGGATTGCCCTCGTATATGCAGACGATTTTGTTGGAGCTCTCGACAACGCCTCATCGGCCTTTCAGATGTTGTGTGAAGCCAAACGGATTATGGCCGAAGCAGGAATGAATTTATGTAAGTGGAATTCCAACAGCACGGAACTGATACAAACATGGGAAGACAAGGGGTTCAAGATCCATCCCATTCATTCAGAGGCCAATCCTATGGACAAACTACGAAAGGTTCTCGGTATTCTGTGGCACGTGCATCAAGACTACATCACTACTGACGTGAAAGATTTACTTGAGTTTAATAAAAGAGAAAGTGTTACAAAAAGAGCTGTGTTAAGAACATCAGGGAAATTGTACAATGTGCTCGGTCTTCTAACCCCGTTTACAATCAGACTCAAATGTCTATTCCAAGAACTGTGGCTTAGGAAGTGTTCATGGGATGCAGAACTTTCAGCAAACCTTCTTAAAATGTAAACTCAATGGAAGCTTGAGTTATCTAATATTTTGAACTTACAAGTCCCTAGGATGATCCTCGACGGTAGCCTAGGTGATGCCAACAAACTTCAAATACACATCTTTTCTAATGCCATCCAAAGGGCATACGGAACTGCAGTATACGTAAAAGAGTTAAAAATGTTGACAAAATCTCAGTAAACTTAATTGCTTCAAACAGTCGTGTTGCCCCATTAAAGAAACCGACTCTACCAAAACTTGAAATCATCATCATTGCTCGCAGCCAGACTTGCGAAAGAAGTAGAACAAATTGTAAAAAAGGGAATTCATTTTCGGACAGACTCCCAGATCACATTGTTCTGGATTAAAGGACCTCACCATAAATGGAAACAGTTTGTTTCCAATCGTGCGAAAGAGATTCAGGCATGTGCGACAGGATTCCTAGCAATCCTGTCACACATACCTGGTAAAGTGAACATAGCTGACCTTGTAACAAGAGGGGTTAGTGTAGAAGATCTTTTAAAAAATGAGACCTGGTGGTCAGGTCCTGAATTCTTAAGAAAAATCTGTAGTCTCAATATTTCAGTGTAATAATTCTGTTCCTGAAGAATATTATATTTCTCAGAAATGAAAAAAGGTTATTGTGTAGAAGGAGATATATCTGTATGTTTTGCTGTAGCTAACCAGAATGTTTTGTTTCATAATGATATGTTTAAAATTACTAATAACTTTTCTAAACTTATTTGTATAGTTTCTTATGTTTTCAGATCTATTTATAACTGTAGAAATCCAAAAGACAAAAAAGGTGGGTATCTGAAGTGTCAAGAGTTGAACAATTCAGAATTTGTTCTTTTAAAATTTGCCCAAAATGGGTATTTGGAAGAAATTTCTGCCTTAATGAAAGGTGAGGATGTAAAAGGTAAAAGTAAATTAGCTTCTCTTCATCGTTTTCTTGATAAAAATGGGCTTATTCACATTGGAAGACAAATAATCAATTCTAGTGTTAACAATAACATTAAACATTCTATTGTCCTCTCATCTAATCATCCCTTAACTTATATGATTGTAAAGTATTTTCATTTAAAATATTTGCACGCAGGACCCCAGACATTGCTGTACCTAATACGTCAAAGGTATTGGCCATTAAATGGTAGGAAACTGTGCAGATTGGTGATGCACAATTGTGTCACGTGCACAAAGAACAAACCAGTTGTAAAGCAACAGTTGATGGGACCAACTACCTAAGGAACGCATAGAACCTTCTCCTCCACTTACGGTAACCAGCACAGATTTTTGTGGACCCTTTTACGTGAAATTCAAAGGACAGAGGAGAGGGGTACTGAATAAGATATACGTAGCAATTTATTTATATTTTTGTACTAAAGCACTACATCTAGACTTTGTGAGTGATTTAACATCAACAGGTTTCATTGCTAGTTTGAAAAGATTTTTCTCTAGGCAAGGCAAGGCTTCTAAGATTTTCACTGACAATGGAAGAAATTTCATTGGCGCAGATGCCGAGCTAAAATGACTTGAAAAATCATAAATTCTCCAAATGAAAAATTGTTCACTATTTCACAGAGGAAACAATTGACTGGCATTTTAATCCTCCAGGATCTCCTAATTTTGGAGGATTGTAGGAAGCCGGCGTAAAATCTTTTAAATATCATTTAAAAAGCATAGCAGGATATTCTCATTTTACTCTGGAATAATTCATTACAGTATTAATGGAAATTGAAGGACTTCTAAACTCCAGACCATTGACTCCATTGTCAGCTGATTTTGATAACTTTGAAACCCTAACCCCATGGCATTTCCTTATTGGGAGACGCATCACTTTCATCGCAGAACCCCCACTTACAGATACAGTCAAAAGTCGTTAATTCGGACACCCATAATCCGGACCTCAAAGCTAAAAACTTTCTGTGCATGCGCCGCGTTGGCACATGCGCACAGGCGTTTTACGCGTGCGCGTAAGACCTTGACTACTGCGCATATGCGTGTGCGCAAGTGCAGAATACGTTTTCGCCTGCGCGTTTAATGTATAGTGGACGGTGTAAGCTAAAATGATCTAATTATCTATTTCAGTTAATGTTAATGATTGCGTTGTTCCTTAATCTTCGAATTGGATCCCGCTTATTATTTTTTGCAGACTGTAAGAGCAATTTTATAAAAGTAAAAATGAACTTTCGATTATGTCAAATAGAATTTCCGATGCTGGAAATTCCAAAGGATCTACAACGAAAGTATGTTTCTATGTCCAACAAACAAAAAGTGGAATTGCTGCAAAAAATGGATAAAGACATGAAGAATGTGACAGAGAGGTTAGTGAAAACGAAAAAATTTCGTTTGACAAGTTAGTCGGTATTCTCGGCACAGCAATTAACGAGACTTGAACAGCGGAACTTTGTAACTGAACAAGAAATTATGTCTTTTTATAGAATTAAAGAGAAAGTATTATCACATAAAATGAAGCAACTTAAACAACTTACATTGAGAGAAATGTTTAATAAAGTAAACAAATAAATATTAAGCTTTTTTATTTTTTTTTTTTTGTAAATTTTGATACCCTTTAGATCATAATTGTTCTTTATTTCATAAATTACGGTTTCATATTTTTAATTTTAGAATTTCTGCATGCCATCTTACGAGATTTAAACTGATGATCTATAATCCGGAAAAATCGATAATCCGGAATCGCCGAAGTCCCGACGAGTCCGGATTAACGACTTTTGACTGTATCAATGAAAATAGGCTTAGCAAGTGGAAAAGGTTTTCAGATGCTCTCAAAGAATCTGGAAACTTGGGAAAAGAGATTACTTAAATAATCTGGAACAACGTCATAAGTGGCAGTTCAGTAAGAATAACGTAAATGTTGGGACCTTAGTGCTGGAAAAGGAAGAAAACCTACCATGCACCAAGTAGTTAACAGGAAGAGTAGTAGAAGAAATATTCACTGGAAGTGATGGGAAAGTAAGAGTTGTGAACATACGCTTGCCACAAGGCAATACACTTAAGAGATCTGTATGAAATATTTGTGTGTTACCTGTGTATTAATTATTGTATTTAAGTTTCATTTCTATAGTTAATATTACTATTGTACTTTTGAGTGTAATTTTTGCTGTACAACTTTCATTTAATTTTATATTGTATTGTTTTATAAATGATAGAAGATCCAATGATTCTAGGATCTAGATTCTTCTATCTAGATAGATATCTAGATTCTTCTATCTAGATTCTAGGATTAAGAATCCAATCGGCGGGGAGTGTTACGAGTTTGAAATATTTCTTTCTTTGAATTTTTGCGGCAATGCTGCTCTCACGTGAGTGGAGATCATCTAGGCAACGATGAAGAGAGTTTTACTCTTGACCTATTTAATCATTAAGAAACGATACTTCTCTTCTCAGTACGAAACAATGTAACTAACTTGTGCAATTGTAAATAATTCTGTTCATTAAAGTTTGTGTTGCAAAACTAACTTACAGTCTAATTCGACGGATACACAAAACAGCATGAAAATTTTTTATTGTACTATATTTCTCTTTATTCAAAAATGTGAAATTTTTCTGATGTAGGAAGGATGAAAAATATTAATATACATGCTGCAAACAAAGAATCTATGACAATCAAAACAGAAAATGGAAATTTACTATAAATGACGAAGTACTTAGATATGAAATGTATCTAACAATAATAAATTATGAAATTAAATTACACTTACCTGAGAAAATGAGTCTTCAAAAATGTTTTGTCTTGAAACTGTTATTTTTATGTGACTTGGTAAGGCATTGCACTAATTAAGAGATTAAAAAACATTAATTTTAAAGACGCATAAAAATTCTTTTAGAAAATAACAATTTAAAAAAACATACATAATGCACAGCTGAAACTAATGCAGAAAAGATAATAATATTTAATATGCATTACACACAAAAAACAGAAAAATCAATATGCTTTATTTCCATTTTAGCAGCACGTAAAAAGAATGAGATATATTCAGTCAAAAAAATTAACAGCACAAATATTTTAAAAAACTTGGAATTAATTTAAAAATAATTATAAGTGAAGTCGATAAATTTAGCTATTTAGGTGATAATGCTGTGGCATGTATTAATGGATTTGCTTTAAGTGATATGATAAAGCACTTGAGTTATTGAAAGAAGGATTCAAAAATAAAAACATGTTGATTAAAGCTCATTTAAGTGCTTTGCTGAATTTAACCCCTGTTAAAAATCCTAATGATGTTTATGAAACCCTGTTAAAAATTCTAATGAGTTTATGAAATTTATATGACAATGAAGAATTATTTCAAGACCGCAGCATAAAAAAGGAGAATTCTTTCTCTTCCCCATACACTCATGAATTTATGGCATCAGTCAAAAGCATAATGTGTTTATTTCGTAGTAAAGGTCATAAATAAGAATCGTGTTACACTTTTAATGCAAATGAAAAAAGGAAACTAAAATAGCAAGGGCACTGTTTTTCATGCTTGAAGATGAAACATATAGCTGCTGAATGTTCTGAAAAGGAATTTATGTTCTAGTTGCAATAAACCTCACCATGTATCAATTTGTTTTCGAAATCAAAATAATTCGCACATTACCTCTCCAAAAATTGAAACAGATAATGTCATATTGCAGTTTTTAAGACAACAACCAATTATCTAATGTTCCAAGCATGTTCAGCCTTAACTGATGATGAAAATGAACAGGGAATTGTTACAATTTCTCTGGACAACGATACGCACCACACTTTTCTTTGTCGGCTATTTCCAAAAAGTTTAACATTTTTGTTATTAGAAAGGAAAGTCTTTTTATCCATACATGTGGTGCTAAGCAGATGGAATCAAAAACAGTTAATGTAGTAAATTAAAGAATAGAGAAGATTCAAATTTATGCATTGAAACTGAAGCATTGGAAATGGAACATATTTTAGGTACACGTTTACCGACTTCTGATAAAAATATTGAAAAGAAATTTAAACATTTAAAAAATGTGAAATTTGTGGATTGTTATGAATTTAACAAAAAGAAAATATCCATACTCATAAGTATGAATTATTAATATAATATAGTTACTGGCCAAACCACATGTCTAAATAAAAACTCAAGCAAAATGGAATGCTTCACAAACTAACTTGAAAGTTGGTCAGTTAATACTGTTGCAAAACTGCAAATTCAGGCCTTTGATTTGGCCACTGGATCACATCCAAGAAGTGTATCCTAGTAATGATGGACTTGTGAGAGAGTCCAGTTGCAGTCGGTGTTTTTCAGTGAGCTATCAACAAAGTTATTCTATTGCCATTTGTGAACTGTGATCAATAATGCATCTGAATAGCTTTTATTTATTTTATATATTTTAATAACTTTAACGAATCTATGTTCAGTTTCGTATAATTTTATTAATTTAAATTTATTACCTGAATATTTGAAAATTGAAATTTAAACTCCATGGGAGTTCAAGTGGGAGAAATGGATAAATCTACTTACCGTGAGAGAGAGCTAAGGGTGTTGTTGTGTGTGTTTGTGAAGACTGATTTGAGATTTGACAGAAGCAAAATGTAAGAGATATTCAGACTGTGATATACTGATTTATTAATTAAATTAATTTTATCATTATTGATTGGGAATTGACTTGAAAATGTGACAAAATGACCACTGTGACCATTGAACCACTTAATTGATGAATCGATCTTGTAGAGGAAACAACTGCAATTCTAATAGAAAAGGACAAGATTGTTTTTAATAGATAAGTCTAATCACTAAAAGTTTCACCCCTCCTCTGCTTAATGAAGCTAATATCTGAACTAAATTAAGCAACTGAACAGACTTATTAGCATATGTTGTTTTAATTTATTTACAAAAGACTATCTAAAGTTGAAAAGTACATCCTTTAAACTGTTTTATGAAATTATACATGCATGTTAGTAGTATATCATCATTTGTCTTTTGAACAGTACATTTGTATGATTTATCGATAGCATAATAAGATATCACTTCTATATTTTCATTGTCTCCAACAAATTTAAATACTCTATTTATTTCATCCTGAGTTGCTTCCATATAAACTGCACGTCAAGCATTTATCTGCTAATTTTTAAAAACGCACTGTTATACAATTATTGAAAGAGATATTTTTAAAAAATTTTTATGGAATCTCTTTTTTCAACAGAACTGATTTTTTAATGCAGTTTCTTTCAAAGAAAAAAATAATGTATTATTTATTCTAAATAAACCCCTGGGAACACTTCTGATTAAAAAAAACATTTTTTATTTGGATACTACAGAAATTAAATAATTAAATTTAAAATTCAAAATAATTAATCATTAGCTAATTAACAATATTCTAGAAATTATACGTGCACAAATAAAGTAAGTGTGGAAAAAAAAGGCACACACTCCAAAATAAAAGCACACAAGGAAAGGGTAACGCATCAGCTCTCAGAAGTCGTGTTTTCTTTGTTAGTACATGATATTTGAATAGGAAACATAAAAGAACTGTAAGTGTAACTGAATTGGTTCCAACATTTCAATCATCTCGTTTGTTTTTCATAACCTTTGTTTTGAGGTTAGTTCTATGACTCTTTCCTATAAAACACTTTTAACATTCATATTAATAACTACAAACTATATCAATACTTAGTTCATTAACTGTACATTCTACACTCAGAAAATATAATCAGAAGAAATATAATGAAGCAGGAAGAACAACCTCTGCAAATAGCAAATATACAGCAAATTAATGAAAAAAAAAAAAAAAAAAAAAAAAAAAAAAAGACTTGGGGAAATTCATATTAAAGAAAAATAAAGAATCTTTAAACCAATAATAGAGAAATAGTTCATTTTTTCTTGTTAAAAGTACAAATTCTTGATAAAAACATTTCAAAAATTACAATGCCATAACAAGATAATTTAAAAAGGAAATTTAATCCTTTTTGTGAATGCAATATGCAGACTTACATGGCACAAATATCGAAACTGTGTGAGCTTCCATTTGAAATTTCGCTCATAAGCTACAGGCACTCCATAAGCTCCCTTAGGTCTGAAACAAATTTATGATGAAATACACATATATAACAAACAAAAACAGACAATGTCCCAGAGAATCTTCATTCCATGTCAAGAAAATATATCATACCCTTTGGCAGCATAAGGTTGTCGGGGGTCAACAAAAGTTGTGGTTTTTGTGTTATGGTCAACAAAATACTTCAATCCCTCAGGAGTTCGTTTTATCTCCCAACCAGGAGGCAGAGGGTCCTCTAACCTATAATATATAAGTTTCTTAAAAAAAAGTTCTAATCTTCAGCTTGAATACTAAATTTAACACCTTTCCTATTAATTTTAATAACACAGTTCTGCATGTTTCTATCAAATACAGTCAAAAGTCGTTAATCCGGACTCGTTGGGACTTCGGCGATTCCGGATTATCGATTTTTCCGGATTATAGATCATCAGTTTAAATCTCCTAAGATGGCATGCAAAAATTCTAAAATTAAAAATATGAAACCGTAATTTATGAAATAAAGAACAATTATGATCTAAAGAGTATCAAAATTTACAAAAAAAAAAAAAAAAAAAAAAAAAAAAAAGAGGCTTAATATTTATTTGTTTACTTTATTAAACATTTCCTTTCAATGTAAGTTATTTAAGTTGCTTCGTTTTATGTGATAATACTTTCTCTTTAATTCTATAAAAAGACATAATTTCTTGTTCAGTTACAAAGTTCCGCTGTTCAAGTCCCATTAATTGCTGTGCCGAGAATACCGACTAACTTGTCAATCGAAATTTTTTCGTTTTCACTAACCTCTCTGTCACATTCTTCATGTCTTTATCCATTTTTTGCAGCAATTCCACTTTTTGTTTGTTGGACATCGAAACATACTTTCGTTTTGTAGATCCTTTGGGAGCTCCAGAATCGGAAATTCTTTTTGACATAATCGAAAGTTCAAGTTTACTTTTATAGTATTGCTCTTACAGTCCGCAAAAAAATAATAAGCCGGATCCAATTTGAAAATTAAGGAACAACGCAATCATCAACATTAACTGAAATAGATCATTAGATAATTTTAGCTTATACCGTCCGTTATACATAAAACGCGCACGCGAAAACGTATTCTGCACTTGCACACACGCATTTGCGCAGACGTAAAAGGTCTTACGCGCACGCGTAAACGCCTATGCGCATGTGTCAATGCGGCACATGCGCAGAAAGTTTTTAGCTTTGAGGTCTGGATTATAGATCATTCCGGATTATGGGTGTCCGAATTAACGACTTTTGACTGTAATATAAAAACTTCAATAACCACTGGGTTAGTTATTCTTCAAAGAGAAAAGAGAAATATGTAGTATTATAAATCATGAAAATACTTATTAAGCATCTTGCAGTTACATAAGTATTAAGTGCTTGTTAGTAAACGAAAAAGCATCATAATATTTACATTCTGAGAGAAATTTGTCCAAGACTAACACACGGTTAAAGACACTTTTTCTGCTCCCCAAAACGCTCAGACACATTGAGTTTAGAAGTATGATTCACTGACTCACTGTAAAACCAGAGTTTAGTTACTGTTAAAGTCTAAAAGGCACCTTAGGTTTAAGGGAACCTTAAGATCTTATAACAGGGTTGCCACTCAAACAGGAGAATGAAATTCCCTGACTTTTCCAGGTTTAGCAAGTATGTTTTAAGAAAATTCCAGTCTATCCGTGTGGTGCGTATTGGCTGTGCTGAGATGTAAATTAATTATGGTACCACTTGAAACCAGAAAAATTAGCCAATTGCATATGATTTATATATATATATAATCCCCCACACATTACTATTATAACTATAATAAGAGTTGTTTTCTCCAATTGAGATTAGAATCTGCCTAATCTGGTTTTAAAAATGTCTTTTTTGGCAGACATTTTGCAGCTAAATGAAAAAAAAAACTGTTTAATGATATTTTAAAATAAATTCAGGTAAATGCTTGAGGGAGCAAATCTGCAAAAAAGGTTGGTTGTATTCAATGCAGTTGCACACAATAATGTTATTCTAAGGTTTCTAGAAAAGAAGAATGTTATTCTAAGGTTTCTCATAATTTGGGATACAAATGTACTTCCTGAATGAATTTATGGAATAAGTTTTCTCTCCTGTAGTCATTTGAAGCCATGATTTTGAAGTGAACATCAATAATATAAAATAAATCCCATTTGCTTTATCTGAAATGCAGTTGATCTAGTATTCCGTCTTAGTATTAAATATGGCTACTGCCAAACAAAGCAAACATAGTGCTAGTTTCAAATGCAAAGTCATTCACTTTGCAAAAGGAAATGGAAATCCTGCAGCAGCAAGTATGTTTGATATTGATAAAAGCTTCAAACATGAGTAGAAGACAAATTATTTCACAATAACTAATATGCCAAATAATGAATATGATTTGCGGAAATGGGTAATGAAATGGTCTATCCTAAAAGAAAGTATTACCAACTGGGTCCTAGAAAATCACCAAAATCGCTAGTAATGGCATTTAGCCACATGTAGAAATCAATTTTTTTTTAATGCTCATCTTCTCATTTTTATATCTGACGTATAATGTGCACTTGTAAATTTTGAGTTCTTTTTTTGTATTAAAAAATGCATTACACACTAGAAATCTCAGAATATGGAAATTAGGCAATCTTTACCAGTTGCCCTATCTATAGATTTCCACTTTGGTCTTGAGCACTTTAAAGCATCGTAAGTGTGATACTTCTTGCCATCCCATAAATGCACATCTACTGCTGCTGGACATGTTTCCAATGAAACAGAATATTACAATAAATAGTCCAGTGAAACTACACAACTAAGCTTTAAAAATTATAATTCAGTTTGCTTCTATGTATCTGTGTCAGAAAGTATTTTCATCATTAATTCAAATTAAAGCAAAGCACAGAAATCGACTCGGTGTATGTCGCAACCTCAAGCTTAGCATCCAAACAATAAACAGCTGCACGAGAATCAGTATGCTTATCTATCTCATTAATGTAAATACCAACATTTATTTAATTTATAGTAAGAAAAAAGTGATCTGAATTCTAACAGCTTTGTATTATTAAAAATGAATATAAATTTTCTTAACTTATTTAATAAATATCAGTATAAAATTAAATGAATTAATTGTACTCTAAAAATGTATGTATACTGATAGAAACATGAGCTAAAAAACTGCTTTCGAAGAGAAGAAGAGTAAGCTGGTCAGCAGAGCATTATAATTTATAGAAGTGGTTGGTCCCCATTTGAAAAAAAAAGTTTTAAGAAATACTGATATAGGTATTTTTTTTCAGCTTCTCTACCTTGCAAGCTTGCTGTCTGCAAATGAAAAAAGCACCAATGTAATAAGAAAAGGAAAGCGTTTTGCAACAGTTTAGCTATGTCAGCACATTTAAAAAAAAAAAAAGAAAAAAGAAAAGGAACACAAAAAGTGTTCAACCTGCCATGATTGAAGCTACCTCCTTATGGGCTTTTATAATTAACATCTATGTCATCATCAAAACTAACTTCATTACATATATATATAAGCTTCAAATTTCAAACAATGCATACAAAATTTTACATTCATAATCATGAAACAAAGATATTTTAATAACTAAAAAATTAATGAAGCTAAATGACAAACATAAAGTTAAAATATTAGTTTTTACGACTTTCTAAAAATTACTGACTATGATATTTTTCATGGTTATTCTTTATTAAACTACTTCTGTAAAAGATTAAAAATTCCGGTCTTTCATAACACAAAGAGCTATAAGCATCAAGCCTTATAACTGAATTCCCAATCAAAAATATTCTATTTTTAAGAAATTAAGTATTTATATTTCACAAATAATAAAAAATTACAATTAACATTTAGTATTATCAAACACATTAAAACTAAATTTCTTCAAATAAAATGACTTAAACTGTAAAATAGAGATGAATTTTTAAAAAACTCATATTTAGTATAAAATATTAATTTAAGTATAAAATGAAACTTTCACAAACAGATAATCAATTAAAAAATACACAGAATTCCAGTATAAAAATAATATGTAAAAAATAAAAAAATAACACATTTTAAGTACTTTTAGCCTTTACTGAAGACATCCTTAAGCAAATATATGCACTAAGAGATTAGGATAAAGAACATATGATAGAGAAGTACATTTATACGACTTTGGGAAACAAAATAATTTCTTGCAATTACCCTTGAGTTCGAGGATCCTCCCATTGTGTAGTTTTGTTTTTATGATTAACAAAATAAACTCTCCCATTAGGATCCACACGTTTTTCTGCGAATTAAAAATAAGCAGCATTAATAAGCCAATCATATACAATATTAATAAAGCTAGAATAATTATAAAAACCATTAAATAAGTAACTCATTAATTAATTAAAATTCCTTTCACTCATACATGTGACTAACAACATGAAAATGAATTTTTTTATATAACTTATATTGAAGGAAATTTAATCAACATAAAAAATATAAGTACTTCATTGTTAAAGCAGCCTTTGGCTACATTTGAACTTTGCACATTACAGAATTAGATGATTAAGTTTGCCAGTTTAGGTGACAAAGTGTAGTAACTGCTTAAAAAAAAAAAAAAAAAAAAAAAAAAAAACTACCAAAATTCAGTATTTCAATCTCAATATTTCAGTATCTCAATTCAATATTTCTTGACAATCAGTTTCATTATTTCAATCATAAAGTAATAAAAATTAACTAAGATAACCAAATTTGAAAAATATAACAAACTTGCTGCTAAGTGGCACACAAACTATCATTTGGAAGCTAAATGCATACATATAGAATTAAAACACCTAGTATATAACCTTAATGACATATATGTTAATAAAAATTATTAATTATATTATATATACATCAGATATTTTACTTTAAAAATAAAAGAAAGAAAATCCCAAGTATATATATTGTTTTTATATCAGTAGTTTATATTACTGATATACAATACACTTTCACAGTCTGAAAGATGTCAGTCTTCCACTACAAAACTGGCACTTTGACATAAGGAATAGTAATAAAGCAGTCTGATTTTATAATTTATCATGTAAGTTCTTCATTAGAATGAATAAATAGAAATTATTATGAATAAATAGAAATTAAAATTAAACGATTAAATTTATGATTAAAACAATGCTAATGCAATATAAAATAACACAAAAAACATGCTTTTAGAAATTATTATTGTTATAAATTACTGAAATTAGATGTTTCTAACATCAAAATTACTCGTCCACAGAAATTAATATAAAGGATATTTATTACTTCAGACTAATAAGTTTAGTTTGACTGTGTATCCTTGCCTGAAATTTACATAACTGCAACAAGAATGTTCATATTTGAAATGAAAATTAAAAGCAAAACAGTGAGATAGTATTAATAAATGAAACTTACTTTTGTAGCTTATGAACAAATTAAAAATTTTTTAAAATAACTATAACACACATCACCTTTACTAAGATAAAAAATTCCTACATCAAACAACTTCCTACAAATAGCAATGCTGGTATGTATGTTTTGGGCAAATCTTGTATTAAAAATGGCAGAGAGAAAAACAGTGTGTGTGGCGTGGATGCACTCAGCTGATCAATATTTATATTTACAGACTAAGTATTGCCATACTTTTTTTTATATATATTTGATATACTCTTTATATTTGGGATGCAAATTGATGAAGATATCCGGATCTGCTTTGGATATCTTCACCCACAAATATACAAAAATTGTTACTGGAGATATAAAAAAGGTTCAAAATTTTGGGGTAGCTTTTTTCCTCCTCTAGCATGGTTATTCATGAAGTTCATAAGAATTATTAACACAAAAACTAACTCAGTATTTGAAAACACTGGAAAATATCAAAATGTTTAAATATTCTTTGTTTTGAAGAAGATGATGGCAATGATTTGTAAAGCAATTTAAAATAGAATCCTAAGACATCAGAAAAATCTTATTTGTTTTCTTTTAGGAAACAGGTAAGATGTTATTTTAATATATTTAAAAATGTGAATTTTAGGATTCAATAATACAGTCATTAGGATGTTAAAGCCTTATTATGATGATCAAATTTTATGATTTGCATTCAGCGAACTGTTCTGATATATGGAAAGAGATAACTGTTTTATAATTAAAATGGCTAGTTTTAAGATATTATGAAATGAATCAGCTTTAAGGCATGAGTTATCTACTTCAGCTATTTATTATTTCTGGTGTTAGCAGTAACATCAGCATCTTGGTTAACATAACTCAGAAAGTCAAAAGGGGAAAAAAAAAAAAAAAAAGGCAAAAAACGTTAGTTTTTGTGTTTTGCATTTGTTACAGAAACTACAGATTCATTAAAGAATTAAAGGGAGGGGGTTATTAGTTTAGTAGAGAAGCTGCTTAACTTAGCTTAGCTGCTTAACTGCAGGTAGCGTTGGATTAGAAGACAGGTTATCAACTATCTTAAATCTCTATTCCACTCATTAGGAGTATTTAAAACTCATACATGCAATACTACTGTTATTGGATTTTTAGTATCAGCAGTAAATACTGCAGGTGTTTCACTTTTTTCATTTATGTGATATAGTTAGGATTTACATTTGCTGCAAGTCTCATGAGTTACAACATGGTGAAATCATGTGATGAGTGTCTTCAGCAGTAGTAAATAATGAATATTCAATGAATAAAAATAAACAGAAAATTAAGTTAGCTGTGGATGAAATTGCAAAATATTCTAAATTACTTTTATGGAATCTAAAAATATTCCATGAATACAGTAGGTTAACATGTTTTAGGATGTTATCTTTATTATCACGAGGAAATTCCTCAATAAGCATAAAAGTCACTATGTTTTCATAACTACTTTTATTTTGGGGCACTATTTAGCTCTGCACTATCTGTACCATTGGTTTATAAGTAAATATGAAGTGATAATTAAAGAAATAATCTTACTGCATAAGAATTTCCCTGAATTATAGGACATTTAAAAATCTTTTCACAGAGCATCAAATAAATACACAAACCAATTATCTAGCACACTTTCTAAAACTAAATATAAATTAAAAAAATCATTCTTATAATTCGGAATGGAAATTTTGTTCACTGGATGAAGTCTTTACATATAAGTTTTGGAACATTTGTTCCCATATTTAAATTTTCAAATTAAACTTTTAATGTTTACTGAAATTTATTTTAATTTGTAACATCTTTTTGAAAATTACAAACTAAATGCAAGCATTAGAAATTTTAAAATGTGGCAAATACTTTTTTTTTTTTTTTCCCCTCAGAAGTGCTAATAGTCTCGAAATGTAATTCTGGTTTGTTTCATTTTTGCTTTGAGTCCATTAAAATATGTTAAGAGATCATTCTTTTATATTTTAACCGCTTGTTATAATTACAAACTATTTAAAAGCAATAGATGCAGTTCTTTGAATTTTTTTTAATTCAATTGAGTAAATTAAATATATAATCACAATATATCTAATTAAAAGTATCAAATATTTTATAGATTATATACATATTTTTAACATTTAATATACAGAGTATGATGTTCCCTAATAGTCTAAATGCATATTCATCAATATCTTATGGAATTTTCACTACTCCACCTGGGCCCTCTATTGATAAAATCTACTGATAAACCATATTAACTTAAAAAGAGCACTTTGGGTGACTGTTAAAAATCTGAACTTTTCAGACTTTTTTTTAATTTGATTACAATTTGTTTATTTATATATTTAATACTTATAGCAGCACCCAAAATTAATTCTACTTCGTTTGGTAACTTTTTAAACAAAATATATTTTGTTGTAGAAATACTGCAAAGAAAATATTGTTGCTTTTTTCAAAATTTAGACATTATTAGGCTAATACCATTATTCATGCAAAACCTGCTTTACAGCCCAAGTAATGGTGCAATTAATTGGAATATTAATGAAATAATTATGATTGGAAAATCAACTTCTCAAACGACTGAACATTTTGTTTTAATTTTGCTTTCCTACTACATTCAAGAAATAAATCTGATATCAAAACGCAGTTAGTGCACAATAATTTCTAATAAGCAATTGAGAAACACTTAAGCACAGAATATCCAACAAGATAAGCTACTCATGATCAGATGGTATCTAACTTCTGCATCTTGTTTGCTGACAAGGTGTATATTTCTGGATGGAGTAACACAGCTACCTTTTTGGTTATTAACCAATATTTTCTGGAACCCAAATGGTCATTGGCAGATAATGGATGTTAAGAGGTGAATAACAAGACGATAGCCATTCTGCTGCGTACAGTCTGGTATCATGAATAGTCTTAAAATAAAATTCTTTGATTTGAAATTTTTTTGAAATAGTTCAAAGAACAAAAAGAAACAATTATCATAACGGCCTTTTTTCTTTGAGGGGGCAAAGCATGACAAGAAAAATTCTCATTACATAAAATGTACCGAAAAAATAACAAGGCATTAATCCTCGCTCTTTTATCCCTCAAGGTGAAAATAATCTTATCATACGCTCTAATTCGTTGTTCTGTTGATGTAAGCATTCCATATTTTGGTATGAAAAATTTTATGAACAATAATCTTTGAAAAAGTTAAAATACATTCATTTCTATATGATTCACGTTTAACTGCACTTCATTAAATCTCTCTTTATCTTTCTGACTGCATCCTCCTAACCTCAACCAATACCAGAAATTTTTAACTATAAGCAGCACAGCACCTTCTATAACTTTTTCTACACAAAGCACTCATAAATTATTTTATAGATATTTTATCTTTATATGAATACCTGCAGAAAACTAATTTGCACAAGATCCAAAACTCACCTCTTGTATCAGTAGATTTAAAATTTTTGTATGCAGTTGTATTTTTTCTTTGTAATAAAGATTCACTTCATTTAAATTTATCTGCACAAAACTAAACTATATAATTCTTGATGCTTAAAAGATCTATTTAAAAAAAAAAAAAAAAAAACTGCTGCATGCAATGACAAGAATTTGCTATGCAACAATTTGCTCTAATCAGAGTGGACATCTTTCTGACTATCAATATCTTCATACCATTTTTCTTAGCTTTTAACCAATATATGCATAAAAACAGTTCTTAATTATTAAAATCCAAAATTATTACATTAAACAACTTTAAAATGCATAAAATGTGATATTTCATTCCTTCTAAAATAACAAAAATGCAACATTACACATATTATTCCATAAGCAAGTTTCATCATGTCTGTATATTACAAATACGGTAGTTATTTGATAGTTCAGAATAGATAGAAATGATGTTCT